ATCACGTCAAGTTTTTGAAAAAAAATGGGGTTGAAACCCCTAAAACAGCGTTTTTGGCACTTTTTGAAAAATTGTGGAAGAAAAACCTGACGTGATAAAAATTTCGCTATTATCAGAAATTAAAGCTTAATTCATGCCCTTTCAAATGAGCCCTCAGCCGATTAATATCCTTCAACCCTTAAAGCAGGGGGTGTGTTTTTGTCCAGGGGTGCAAAAACTTTAAAATACATATACAAAGAAAATTATTTAAGGGTTTTTTAGGGGTAGCCGTGTACTTAAACCTATAGCTTCAAAATTTTTCTCAATTCACAACCCCTAAAAAATCCCTTAAATAATTTTTTTTGCATATGTATTTTAAAGTTTTTGCACCCCTGGACAAAAACACACCCCCTGCTTTAAGGGTTGAAGGATATTAATCGGCTGAGGGCTCATTTGAAAGGGCATGAATTAAGCTTTAATTTCTGATAATAGCGAAATTTTTATCACGTCAGGATTTTGCCCCACAATTTTTCAAAAAGTGCCAAAAACGCTGTTTTTAGGGGTTTCAACCCCATTTTTTTCAAAAACTTGACGTGATAAAAAAATTTTCGCCTGTATTTTGGCAGAAAAATCTACACAATTTCTATAATATAGAAGGTTACTGATTTTTCTTTCTTTAAATGAATCCTTGGAGTTTTGCCATAATTTTTCAAGTGTCCGGTTTCATTTATTTTGGCCATAATATAAGTAAAAATATAATAAACTGATGGAAAATATCTGTAGCGTTTTTACTTTGTAATTTCCATATTACGAACACAATTAGTTTTGTAGTATATATATATATATATATATAAATATTATTTCAATATTAAATATAAGAAAAACTCTAATAAAAATATAATATACACTACCAGTTAAAATTTAGAGACCATACCCATTTTCAGGAGAATGAAAAACATTTTAAAATGTATCATGTACGGAAACTAAAATTTTTGTATCTTTTAAGTTTTAAAAGATGTTTAAATTTTGAATTGATCAAGATCTTTTAGAAGTCATTTGATTAATATTTTATTTAGACATTTTTAAAAAATGATAATTTTCAATGTTTTACAAAAATTTTAATAACTTCTAAAATACTGAATGCTTTTTAATGATGTTATGCTTATTTTAAAGGTGATTTTCTCCAGAATGAGAATTTTTTATAGGCATTAACGTGTAATTTTTTTTAGAAAATTCAATTTGTCAAACTTACATTTAAAAAATTAAAAAACTTTTAAACAATCTTATTAACAGAGAAATAATTTTTAAAATATAAACATATGTTTTTATTTAATTAAGATTTAATTTAAGGTTATATTAAGGTTTTTGTTGTGGGAAAGGACCAGAAGTGGGCGCGCAACGCGCGTCCTTTTGGTTCTAGTGATCATTAAAATAGTAAAGAGAAATTTATAGCAATACAAAGTTAAAATTTCGGGTTTCTCTTAATATACTTCTGTACGTCGCTATCCTTGTTTTCCTACCTGTTCAAGGGCTCAATCGGTTTCACCTTACCGACTTTTCATTATTTGTGCAATTGGTTTAGTACTTTTGGTACCTGCATATAGATAGAGCTGTTTAATTGGTTACCAAGTCTGCTTCTGCTTTGGACCATGTAAAATTCCAGATCCGTTACAGATCTAGAATAACACGTCTGCATCAGATCTGTACTTTGGTAGCGACTTGGATTTTGCTACCCGGGTTTGTGAAACAAAAGAATATTTTATGATACCTGTAATTAAGATATTGAAAAAAAATTATTTGTTAATTAATTTATTAATTAATTAAACATTTTTAATAAACAAATAAATAACAGAAATGTAATTACGTATGTTTAATTATTATTAGTTATTAGTTTTAATATTACTATTATAAGTTTTAGAGAAAGAGATCTGTATAGAAGAAATTAACAAAATGACACATTTGTTAATTAAAGTTTTATCAAATGAATAAAAAAATAAAGATGTAAACAATTAACTAATGCATAAGTTTAAATAAAATAGATATGACATTAAATTATAAGGCCGTTTCATTTTCTTACAATCATAAAAAACGTACTTTTCTTAAAAAGTTGAAATATTGCAATTAACATTTTTTTAGAATTTGTTAATTAAGATTGTTTAAATAATCGATGATTGAATTGTTATATTTTTATTCTACTACTTTTAAATGTAAGTTGATAATATTAAAATGATTTTGTGTAAAAAAAGATTACTTCTTTGTAAAATTTAACAATATTAGGTATTTGTTAATTAAAATTGTTTAAATAATTCTACGGTATTATTTCATTGTTTAAACATTATAATGGAATATGTTGAAAGAATGAAAGGTTTTACTAGTCAACTGCATGAAAAATAAAAAATTTGCTATAAGAAACATTTCTGTTATTTATTTGTTCATTAAAAATGTTTAATTAATAATTAAATTAATTAACAAATAATTTTTTTTCAATATCTTAATTACAGGTATCATAAAATACTCTTTTGTCTCATAAATATAACTTTTAAACTATAAAATATAGTAAATTTCAAAAAATCAAGTTTTTAGTCTCTAAATTGTTTATATAACAAATACAAAAAAAATTTTTTTCTATTTGCTCAATTGGATAATATTTCTTTGATGATTTTATATTAATTTATTTCTATAAGCGATGAATGCACATATTATATCACAAACGAGCACTATTTTTATGAAAAAAGTGTTTTTCTTCAATGTTTATAAATAAATAAAAAAAAATTGAAGCTTTTTTCAAAAAATCTGCCTCGAGCGATCTCTTAGGAATTTAATGACGAGTGTTTGGAAAAAAAGAATAAAAATCTGTTAAGATTTACGTTCTCTACGCTATTTTGAACCCCGTTTTTCGATTATAAACCACTGTGGCCCGGATCAAAAACCAGAAAAATTTGAAAAAGTACGAAAGAAATTCATAACTCGAACAATTTTTGACCAAATTTTTTTTCAATGTCAGAAATTAAAGAGGAATTATTGCTCTTCAAATGGTGACCACTGTGAATTTTTTTTACAATCTTTTAATAGCCAGCTTTCTCACCCGCCCGTTTCGGAAAACCGAAAAATGTAAAAAAGTCAAAAAAAAATTCATAACTGGAACAATTTTCGACCAAATGTTTTTTTCTTTCTCTGTAATTAAAAAGGGATTATTGCTTTTCAAATTTTAACCATTAAGAATTTTTTTAATAAACTTTTAATAGCCAGTGTTCCTACCCGCCCGTATCAGAAAACTGAAAAATGTGAAAATTCAAAAAAAAATTTAAATGTCGATAAAATTTAAATCCGAGCTAATCTAGCAAAACTGAAATAGTTTTTTGCTAGTTTCGATAAGTACTTTCAGAAACTGAAGTCGAAACTTAGTGCACATTTTATGTGTTGCACTGTGTAAGCTAAACAACAAACTATTTTTTTTATTTATTTATTTGTCTATACACCCGTCTTCAGCCTAGAATCTTGGCTATACAAGTATTTTTACAATCATAGAAATTTTTCTTACAAACATTCTTATTACTTAATACTAAATGTTTGCCCCTACAGAGCGACTTGAAAATTAGGAGTACTCGCATTTGCCTGGACCACCCGTTTAATGGGTTTTCTCGACAGTGGAGAGGGAAACTGTAGAAGACCTCTCCGAGTACAACCGGTTTATCGACAGCCGAGTTCTAATGGTGTGTACTGGACAATAATCGTCAGTGCACGTCATTATACCTCCCGCTCAGATTATCTCACGTGCCGGAAAAATCCTAGGCCAAATCGGCACGAACAAAGTAGGGGAATGTAGTCGAGGTCGGCCCACCTTTTGACTTTTGTTTATACCTTTTTTTTAAAATGAATTTGGACAATTGCAGTATACTGTTGGAATGTCCTGTTTAATAAGAACATTATTTCTGTACAAAGTAAATTGATTGGTTTTAAATTGAAAAAGTTATAAAGATTTAAAAAAAAAATTTTGTAGTCCAGCTTGGCCCTTACAGTCAAGGTAGGTCCTAGACAGTGGTCCAACCTCGACTATACTACCCTACCCTTGGTTCTATAAAACGTCCGCCAGGCGAGGCATCTATCCGACCGAGCTAATCTGTCGGTTTAAATAACCAACTATCAAACAAAAAAATCTTGCCTTTAACCTGAAGCCTATAAATTGATTTACAGGTTAAAGGCAAAATTTAAGTTAAGTGGACGTCAAAATAAACTTGAAATTGAAAAAATAAAAAACTAAATTTTTTTTTATTAATTTGAAACTCAGTTTTATAAAAATTGCAGCAAGCTTGCTGAAAGCTTCTAACGACCTTGCAACACACTTGCAGAAACATTTCTTACATGTTTGTAGAAATGTTTCATGGCAAGCTTGCAGAAACCTTGAGTAGTAAGGTTGCATCAATCATTCCTTACAATCTTGTAGCAATGCAATTACAACAACATTTCATGGAAAGCTTGCTATGCAGTGGTTATTTTGTTATCTCAGAAAAGCTTGCGGTAATATTGAGCTGTAAGCTTAGCAAGATTGCATTAGCTTACGTGTTATCTGGGTAGTACTAGAATAATTCTAGGAATTTTTTCATTAATTAAAATTTGATGGATTAGCTGAGAATTAGCTGCATCAGCTATAACTTTATTCTCCGTGCACTAGTTTCTCTAGTTGGAGCACTTCTTTTAATAGGGTAAACTAGTGAGGTCTTACCAAAACCAAACATTGTCTAACTTTCGAACGAAGAACTTTTGGAAGGTTATTAAAAATATTTAATTTTGAGAGGAAGTTTACCTAAAAGTTCTAAAAATTAATTTAATTTTGGAAGAATTACAATTGTAATTTTTAGAAATAATTAAAACTCAAGAAGTTTTTGAAATTAAAAAAAATTTCAAAAATTTCTTTAATCGACTAGCCTCTCATACGGTTTTCATTTTTAATGAATTAATTAAAAAATTCTTTTCTATTAAACTTTACTGCACACATTTTTTAATAATTATGAAATTTTTACCTAACATTCGTAGTTTGACAGTTCTTCTTAATTTTTGAATGGTACTCCATGCTGATTCTTCTTTTGGAATTGGATTTGAAGACGCAAATCTTCCGCAAGCATACTCGTGAAAATTATCACAAGGGTTGACAGAATGATTTACACTCTGCCAAATATCATTAGCTGCAATGAAATACAATTATAAATAATTGAAAATTAAATTTTTATTAATTTTGTAAATATGTTTTGACATTGAAATGCTAAAAAATCGTCAAAGTTGAATTTCAATGCACCAATCGGTCGAAACACGGCTTCACATTTTTAATGATATATCGAAGACGGATTAACTTTTTTTAATTTTTGAAGGCTTATTTTAAAGCTGAAATTCTAACGAAGATTTCTGTGTTTTTATTAAAAATTCTTAAATTTAAAGGTCAAAACAATTTTTCTAACAGCTAATATTTCCAAAAATCGTGCACTCGATTGTTACACTTTCAAAATATATGTCTACCTTTTGAATATAAACTTTCGGTTTTTCAAAATGGCGCCTAAAACCTACAAAATTTAAGAAAATTTTAAATTTATTGTTCGATGTGCAATTTCTTGCAGAAATCTGACCTGAAACTATTTACTCGGGGGTTATCGGGGTCGCTGATTATGAATCTGATATTAGTTTTCCAAAATTCAAAATGGCGTATCCAATATGGTGAACAATATTTTCAAAAATCAGTCGGATTCTCTTGGAAATCCTTACTCGGGGGTTTTCGGGGTCACTGTTTACTAATCTGATATTAGTTTTTCAAAATTCAAAATGGCGGATCCAATATGGCAGACATTTTAAAAAAACTGTCGGATTCACTTGAAACTATTTACTCAGGGGTTTTCGGGCTCGCTGATTACTAATCTGATATTAGTTTTCCAAAATTCAAAATAGCGGATCAAATATGTCGGACAAAAACATATACAATTTAAACAAATAAGCATATTTTCCAAACGGTGTATTTGTTTATAAATCTGAGCGGTCAAGTTATAGAGAATCATTTTCTGAAGAAAATAAGCCATCATTGACTTAAATCGAATTAGTTTTGAAAAAGTTTAACCTTTTGATATGAAGAAAATTTTGATCATATGCAAAATGTCAAAATAAACAATTTTTGTAAGTTAAAAATTTTTTTCTTGAAAATTGATATTTGTTCTTCCAGAAGATACAAATAACAATAATATTAAAAAATTCTTTGATGTCAATTCAATATTATTTCTAAAGGTCTGCATACCTGTAAACAACCTCCTTAAGGGTTTTACGGTAGCTAATATATAAGTATGACTATTCCATAAACCCGAAAAAAGCGAAATGTCACTGACAATCGAGATAGACTTAGAAAAAACTTGTCAGTTAAATGAAAATTTTGAAAAAAGGCAAAATTTTCGGAAATTTCGAATTCTTTTTTGTTCTAAATTTTGTATTTCTACCTAACTTAATTGTCGATTTTAATATTAACAGAGGTGTATTACTATGGACTGATTTTCATTAATACGGCCCCCCTAAGATAATTTTTCTACTTGATACATAGCTGACAAAATGTTAAAAAAAGCATTGCAAAGTAAATTCTGAAAAAAGTTAAAAAGTCCATAACTTTTTTGTTTTTTGTTGTACGGAAAAGTGTCTAAAGGAAAAGTTGTTTGTTTTTGCACAAAATTTAAGAAAAAAATTAGAAAAAAATATTTTTTGAAAATTGTCAAAAATACAACACTTTGTATTTTTGTTGTTTTTTAACAAAATGGGCTGTCCAATAAACTCAGGCTTCATTTTTATGGACTAAAAATGTTTACCAAATTTCAAGTCGATTCATAAAAATTTACTCGAGTTATCGTGGCGACAAATTTTGCTACAGACAGACTTCTCTAAAAACCACTTTTTGGAATTAGGGGGTCATGAAACGTGAAGATTTACAAAAATTAGACATTGCTCAAAATCGCACAAATCCGAGACCTTATTTTTGATGAGAATGTAAAAATAAAAAAAGTTCACCGTTATTTAATATTATTTATCGATTTACCTATAAATATAAAAAACCGTTTAACAAACAAATATTAATTTTTTTAATTATTAATAATAATAATTAATAATTATTTAATAATTAATTTAATAATTATTATTATATAATTTTAATTATATAAATATATTGTGTAACGTAATTTAAATTTAAACTAAAAAATAACAATTTGTTAATTTAATACTTATTGTCTATAAATATTCTAACATCACTTTTTAAATTATAAAATGAATTCATAAAAGTATGAAGTCACAGAATTAAAAAAAGGAAAAAATTTGAAACAAAAATGAAATAAAAAAATAAATGAATAAATAATAACATTAAACGGAATATACTTAGTATGTAAATAAAATAATTTTTCTACTCACCAATTTGGTAACATTCTGCAGAATGACACACATCGGAATTATTTATAAAATTTATTGACTCATTTCCTTCCTTATTCAAATCAATTATATTATTTTTAACGTCTTCCGCACTTACAATAACAAAAATATTAAGTCTATGGAAATAAATTAAATTCTGTTAGAATTAATTAAAATTTTCTCCTTTTTAAAAAATTAATTTGAGAAGCAAGTTAAATATTTTAAATTCAAAAAATTTATAATAATTCAAATTAATTTATTTATAATAAAACGAGCATTTAGTTTATTAAAATTAAGGATAAAATACAAAATTTGTTTTGAAAATTAGATAAATTAAAAAATGAAAATTTACAATATTATTCCGAATCGAAGCATTTTGATGATAAAAACTCCTATGAGTGTCCAGTTTACTCTAAACCATATCCTGTAGAAACGAATACTAAATTTGTTGAGCTTATATATAAATTGTTTAACTATTTTTGAAAGCATAAAATATAAAGAGAACATGACATAACATATGTAATAAAAAATAATTACTCATGTCTGATAATGATTGACAGTAAATCTTTTTTGAAATAAGAAAATGAACAAAAATAATAAAATTTTATAAGAAACTACCAAACATGTAATATAAAAGTAATTTATAAATAATTTAAATATACTTAAATATATTTTTTTTAAATTTGAGAATAGAGCCTTTTTTTATCGTTACTTAATTGCGTCATAAAAATTATAATTCGTTTATTATGAATGCAACTAAACTTATTATTAGATGTAATAAAATGCAGTTATAAAAATTTATATTTTTACTGTCAATTTTATATATTTTATTTTTGGTAGTCAATACAATTTTTTAATTATAGGTAATCCATATAACATAGGACCACAAAATTTTTTTAAAGGAAATATTGACTGGACCATGTTTTTTTATGTTTTTTGGGTCGCTGAATTCGAATCCGAACTTAGTTTTCCGCCATCACGTCAAGTTTCCTCACAAACTGATTAAATTTGCAAAAAACTGACTGTAAACAAAAGATATACAAGTTGTTAATTTCATGATCATTTAGCTTCTTCAATTTAATATATAGGGTAGTGGCACCAGTGAAAGAACATTTAAGGAAATGTATACTTTTCGATATTTTTAATTTTTAATTGATATTCTTGTATTTCCTTTTAAACATATGCAATGAATATCAATATTTCTAAAGAATTTGAAGCTTATGATACAAATTTTGTAAATATAATATAAAATATCAAATTTTAATCAAATATTGAAAAATGGCCATTTTACCAGTGAAAGAATGTTGACCAGTAAAAGAACAGTTGTATTTTCCAGTGAAAGATCAAATCAAATTTATATTAATACAGTGTCTATTAAAAATAACAAAAATTATATGAAAAACGCTACAAATATTCTGAAACAATTTTACAACTTACTATTATTAATATTTTCCTAATTACGCAACCAGAAATATTATTTAATTGTACCTGAAACTTGTAACCTTTTTTCTGTTTATGCTTCATTCATTTGTCATATTCATAACCCACCAAAACATTAAAAAATTATTTTCAGAAATAACTTGCACATTGAATCTATTTTTTTATCATAAACTATATTTTGAAGAAATAAGGAACTAAAAAATATATTTTTTATAGTGCTAAAAGTTATAATTTGTGAAATATCGTAATAAATAATCAATTTGTTCTTTTACTGCTGTCAGTTCTTTCACTGGTGCAACTACCCTACCAATTGTTTAATTTTTTATTTTAGAAAAATTATTTTAAAGTGTTAATATAAAATTTCAAAAAATACAAAATTTCAATTTTTTGTCAAAAATAAAAATATTGATTAATTCTATAAATATTAATAAAATATATACTTTATATACATGAATCAATTCGTTCTCATGTCAGGAATGCAATTTTGACAAGAATTAATGAAAATTTTATTAAAGAAAAAAGTTATTTTAAAAAATACAAAAATAAATTTTTTACAAAAATTTAAAAATTGCTAAAAAATTTTGCTTTTAGATATTTTTGAAAATACTTCTGTCTGATTTTTTGTATTCATGACCGTAATATACCTACCAAATTTTATCAAAATCCGTCAAAACGTGTAAGAGAAAATTTGTCCACAATATTCGGTGACATACACACACATACATCCGGACATTTGTTCCTCTCGACGAATTATATACTACACTTGAAAATTTGTAAAAGTAATTGATTATAAAAAATTCGGAAATCGACATTACTATAAGGCTTCCTTTAAGAGGCAGCAAAATAAAACTAAGCAGAAGAATCTATTAAAAAACAACTTTAACGCACTTGAAAAAGATTATATAATGTTAAACAATCAAAAAATCAATTTGCCTGAAACTTGTTACTTGGGGATTTTTGGGGTTGCTAAATAGGAATTTCACTTTAGTTTTCAAAAATTCAAAATCTGATAAAATTTTAAAAAATTCGTTAGCCATATTGGATCCGCCATTTTGAATTTTAAAAAACTAAGGCGAAATACGTATTCAGCGACCCCAAAAACCTCCGAGTAACAAGTTTCAAGTAAATCTGATAAATTTTTAAAAAATTCGACTGAGTTCGGATTCGAATTCAGCGACTCAAAAACCATATAAAAAACATGGTCCAGTCAATATTTCCTTTAAAAAATGTTGTGGTCCTGTGTTATATGGATTACCTAGACGTAACAATTAATAAGTAGACTGTACCTCTGAAAGAGTGCAACGTAGAAAAAGATTATGTATATGAATTTTGTAGGTTTTTTTAAGCTCTACAACTTTTCTTTTTAGACCAAAACGCGAAAATGGTTTTTTGATACGAAAAAGAGAAACTGATTCTTTGCAATTTTGGCGCCCTCTAGCTTTCGCACATTAAGTTGTACAGTAGAAGCCTAATGAGATAAAATGTAGAGAAATTTGTTCTCTACAACTTTTATTCAAGAAATTTTTCTGTACGACTTACGGTTTTCGTACAAAATCAAATCCAAATAAATTTTGAGTTTCTCCCCTCTCCCCAAGGGGGGGTGTCCCAACTTTTTGGTTTTAAGATAGTCACATGTGTCACTAACGATTTATGAAATAATCTCGAGTAAGGTATTTTTTCCAAAAAAATGGCTTTTTCAAGCTAGATTGACTGTACTATAACTCCAAGGAAGAAGAAATAGAGTCTCACCTTTTGAGCGAAGGTGTTGAAATTCTTATCCAGAAATTGTCTGACATGCAAAAAGATGGGAGTGTTACAGAAATGGAAATTAGGTCTGAAGTGATAATTGGGGAAAATAAGATTGATGAAAGGGAAAGGAAAAGTGAACCGAATAAATTACATTAAACAAAACAAAAATAAAACAATTGAAATAAGTTGTAAGCAAATAAATAATATGTAGGGGAGAATGGTCCTAAGTTGGCTACCCTGCGTTTCTCAGAGATGGTTTACTTGACGAATCTATAATTTCGTGGTGTGATACACTACCGGTCAAAATTGAGAGACCACCCATTTTCAGGCGAATGAAAATCGTTTTAAAACATAAAATTTATTAAAATTAACATTTTTTCTGTTCATTTTTTTAGAGATGATAAAATTTTGAACAGAACAAGATATTTCAGAAGTCGTTTGGCCAATCATTTATTTAGATATTTTTAAAAAATCGGCATTTTCAATGTTTTACAAAAAATTTGAATAACTTCTAAAATAATGAACGCTTTTTAATGATCTTAGGCTTATTTTAAAGGTCATTTGCTACGCTATAAGAATTACTTATAGGCATTAACGTGTAATTTTTTTCTTAAAAAATGCAGGCCGTTAAACTTTAATTAAAAAAATATAAAAAATTTGAAACATTCTTATTAACAGAAAAATAATTTTTAAAATTCAAACGTATTTTTTTAATTAAATTTCATTGAAAAATCTACACCATATAATGTTTTATATATTTTCTAAAATAGTTTTTAGTACAGAAAAATTGTTCCAAATTTTTTATATTTTTTTAGTTCAAGTTTGACGGCCTGCATTTTCTAAGAAGAAAATTACACGTTAATGCCTGTAAGTAATTTATTAATTATTATTATTATTATTATTAAAAAGCGTTCATTTTAGAAGTTATTCAAATTTTTGTAAAACATTGAAAATGACGATTTTTTAAAAATTTCTAAATAAAATATTGACCAAATGACTTCTAAAAGATCTTGTTCTTTTCAAAATTTTATCATCTTTGAAAAAAGGAAAAGAAAAGTATTTTAGTTTCCATACATTTTATGTTTTAAAATGTTTTTCAATCACCTGAAAATGGGTGGTCTCTCAATTTTGACCGGTAGTGTATATTGATAAACCATGATATAATTTATGGACCTAATTATAATCTAAGATTCTTCTACGCATTGTGAGGACAATAATATTGTTTACGACAAAAAAAATTTAATTTTTCTCGTTTTTTTGAGAGCAGCTACAAGAGATAAATAATTAAAATTTTCTAAATCAGTATGTGCGCTAGTTCCTTTATTTAATGTTGTAATAAGAGGTTCTGTTAATTTTTTAATTAAATTTTTTTTATTAGAGTAATAGTTTGAAACTTGTAAAAATCGACAATGGTTCTAAGTTCGCCACCTATTATTCTTGCTTGTTTTTATTTATGTTTTGCTTCTTTTTGTATTTTTTATCACGAGAGAGACCGTGAAAGTGTAACGTAGGAATTAAACAAAGACACAAAACAATAGAAAAGACATACTACAAATACGCCAGTCTCCGCAACCATCCACCACTGCAAATAAATAAAATAAAACAATGCTTCATTTTCTAATCAAAAATAGTTAAATAATGCGTTTTTATTCTCCTAAATATATCAAATTTGTAAAATTTCTGCGTAATTGAAAAGAATATACATTTCTCCCTTATACTCAAGCGGAAAAAAGTGGTGGCCAACTTAGAACCGCTATTTCTGATATGTCCAAAATGCAACTTTTTACTATTTATTGTATTAAGACTACAAAAGCCATTCCATATTATTCTGAATACCACAAAATTATAGCAAAACGATCTCTGAACACTAATATATACTTGCCGAAGTGATTAAATTTCATTTTGTTACTATTTTCGACCAATTTGATAGGCGGCCAACTTAGGACCA